AGAGTACGGTGTAAGAGTACGGTGTAAGAGTACGGCGTAAGAGTACGGTGTAAGAGTACGGTGTAAGAGTACGGTGTAAGAGTACGGTGTCAGAGTACGGTGTAAGAGTACGGTGTAAGAGTACGGCGTAAGAGTACGGTGTAAGAGTACGGTGTAAGAGTACGGTGTAAGAGTACGGTGTAAGAGTACGGAAGAGTACGGTGTAAGAGTACGGTGTCAGAGTACGGTGTAAGAGTACGGTGTAAGAGTACGGCGTAAGAGTACGGTGTAAGAGTACGGTGTAAGAGTACGGTGTAAGAGTACGGTGTAAGAGTACGGCGTAAGAGTACGGTGTTAGAGTACGGCGTAAGAGTACGGTGTTAGAGTACGGCGTAAGAGTACGGTGTTAGAGTACGGTGTAAGAGTACGGTGTCAGCAAATGGGGTCAGTGAAGGAGCGACTACAAATGTGAAACGAAAAGACTTTTACATTTCTCAGCTGTGGTATTTAATAAACGTTGAGCCGATTTCAAAGTGAAGGATATGGATGATTTTGGGAAGGGTTGGGGGCTGATAGCGCACTCGTTTACGGTGTCTATAAATGCTAGTAAGGGCGAATTCCCCAAAGTGTCCACGTAAACACACATCGATTTATATGCATGGCCAATATAAACCCTATGCATCAACCTCTCTAGATTTGCCACTGGGGCGGGCTGCACAATTTAGACTGCCTAGAGCACATGTATCAAACTCAAGGCCAGTGGGCCACCTACGGCCCGTCGAACAATTATATCAGGCCCGCGAGGTCTTGACCGGAGTACAATCATATCCAAGTCAATGCTATGGTGTTTCCCAATGCACGCTTTGCTGAAAAACTTAGCTTACTTCGCGCCGAGTTCGCACGGCGCTTTAGTGACTTTGAAGCATAGAAAGGTAATTTCGAGCTGTTTCGTAACCCATTTGTCATAGACGAGGAATCTGCACCTGTATATTTCAGATGGTGCTGATAGAGCTGCAGTGTAATGGGACACTAAAGGCAAAGTACGACACAGTTGGGCCTGCACAGTTCACCCGTTTCGTTCCCGAAGAGATGTTCCAGCTTCGACTACATGCGGCTCGAACCTTGAGCATGTTGGGTAGCACATATATGTGTGAGCAGGCGTCTCACTGGTGAACGCTTGCAGTCCATCATGAGAATCTCAATGAGACAGAACGTTTCTTCCAAAATAAACAAACTTACTTGTTTTTGTGGCCAAGAAAATGTGCCAAACATCCAGCTTGGACAAATTGGCATAAGAACGACAATTGGTACCGGGTATGCCAATGACTTTTAATTATTACAGCTTTGTTCTGTTTCCATTTATATAATTTTTTTTAAATGAAAGATTAAATTTTCCGCTTATTGAAAGTTTATCCTTTTTGGCCTGCAACCGCACGTGTGATTTGAGTTTTGGCCCGCCGAGCGATTGAGTTCGACACCCCTGGCCAAGAGGCACCCGCGTGTCTTGATCCGGCACTGCTTAACATGCACATTTATGTAGGTCAACAATTTTTTGGTTGAATTTGGGGAAAGTGCGGAGTGCGGTGGGACTTTGGAGCAAGTGCTTTTAATCTAGTGGAAGTGTGATCGATAAAGGCGGTAAAAAAAATTATTCTGTTAACAATGACCATCGTCTCCACCATAGCCCCATTAAAACAAACCATAAGCACAAACCTGACCAGACGTATCAGCGTCATATTCAAGGATGTCCACGTCTGAAGAGAAACGAACTCTTCCGATTTCATCTCCAACAGGCGAAGATTGCGACGAATACCTCAGGAGCCTTCTGTTGGCCAAGCTAACGCGAGATTTCAAGGGATCCACATCGGACTCCAGGTCCTTATTATCTCGTCTTTTGAACGTTATCAAATCGTCGGGCAAATAATTCGCTTTTTTAGATAATGCCACAGCTTCATTTATTTTGGCGTCTTCTTTTTTGGGAACAATATTATCATGTAGATGAACCTCGTTAGCCTTTGTAGCAGCATCCCTGGTGTCGTTGGGTACTTCTGTTGGTTTCATGAGCTCAGAACTCGTTTTAGGCTTGCTTTTCAAAATGCCGCTGTTTTGCAGTCGAATCGCGTCTTTGTGTATGGATATATAGCTATCAAGAGCGAGCGAGTCTTTCCTGGGGAAGACGCCAGTTGACTGTGAAGCGGTATCATTGGGTTTGGACGAGTTTGAGTTTTTTTCCACCATTTTTGTTTTGCTAAGTTTGTGGAGTTTGTACAACCTCAGACCCACGTTTGTACCTTCCTTGTCATCTTTGACCTCCATATCATTCAGTACACTGTCGACTCTTTGCAACTGCTCGTTGATGACGGTAGTGTTACTTCCCGACCGGAGGCTTTCCATCGACTCGAGTGAGTGGATTCTGGTGATGTCGGGGGTTGAGTCTTCTGATGCGATACCCATTCTGTCGAGGTCGACAAGTTTCGCGTGAGGAAAATGGAAGTAGCGATTGAAATGAATGTATGATGAGAGGTATTGGCGTCCCGCGGCCTCACTTGGAGATGTGCTAACAGCGCTGTCGTTAAATGGCGGTAGACCGACGTGAAATGTTCCGCCATTGTCTTCCGTTGGCGGGAGATCGTGGAAACTTGGTGATCTGGCAGCAAGGGGTGAAGGTGTGGGGATTGAGGGATCTCTCGTCTGTACGTTATCGCTGAGAGATCCTTTAGCCTTAGGCATACCATCTGCATGGAAAAGACTTAAGGGAAGAACCACACACATGAAGCTTTGACCGAATGGTCAAATTGTGTGACTGTCATTGGGAAAACTGTCAAGGTAGGCGTCCGTATCTAGAGGAGATCGGAAAGAATGTCAAGTCTTTTACCAGGCGTAGAAGTTCACATCGTACAGTGGAAGTAGAAGTCAACCCTATACCACATTGTTTATAAATATAATGTGTTTACATTAGCGATGCTACATAGTGCGCAAGTAGTGTGCTCGTTTTAAAAAGTAAGGCACTGCGCACCAACATAGAGCAGCTAAAAGTTATGGTTGTTAGTAAGTTCCTGAAATTGAATGGGGAAAGAAACTTTAATGGTCGCAATGCAAACTTTCTATTTCTTCACTATTTATGTATTATTAATCTAAAACTTACTATAAATTAGAAATGAAGGAAAATAAATTGAATATTTATGGCATTCATTGAGGAGAACTTCAAAGACTGAAGTTTTTGAATTAACTAATTATAAGATTTTTGGACTGCGATAAAGCATAAAAATAGATTAATTAGACACGAACAATTTGTGTCAATTCAATATTAACAATATGAGTGAAGCTTTAATAATAATTTTACATAATCACAAGTATACGTTTCGGCACATGCAAAAAAACAGAACAACTAAATAAGTATTAATTAAATTTACATAATATATATACATATACATTTTAATTTATACTCTTTTTTTTTTTGGTGTACAGATGAAAGCATGTGCCGAAACATATACTTGAGATTATGTACAATTATTCTTAAAACTTCACTTATATTGTTATATTGACACAAATTGTTCGTGTCTAATTAATTTAAGTTTTTGAACCGTTTTTAATGTCCTGTTTCTAAAAACGGTCTATTTTTTTTGGTCCTGTCTTTATACTTCAAGCTTCCACCTTCCTTGTTCCACTATTTCCTAGAAATCAAGGCTATGCGCAGCAGAATTTCAAATGTCGGACCACAGGAAGCGCAGCCAACATATTTCAAATGTCATCGTGAAGTTAACGAGTGCTATATTAAAAGTAATAAACTTTTAAGACTATAGATATAATAATCTCCGATTTATCTTTAAACTGAAACAAAGGATTACAAACTTCCCAAAGAAGCCATTTTGCACAATTTAATATAATAATCACGATTGCTACGTTAAAGATATGTATTTTTTTTCCTGAGATATGAAGAAATCATATTAAATTAAACAATAAATTGCAGCTAGGACCATGACAAGCAAAAGCTGCGCCCCAGGCAAAGCCCCAATTTAAGCGCCCTCTGCCCCAATAGTATGAAACATCTTTTGCATGAAGATTTTGACACCCTCCGATGATGAAACTAGGGGCGGATTCTCCCTTCGCACTGCCAGGCTTTTTGTAATCATACAATACTATCGGAAATGTGAAACCAAAGTAATAGCCAAGTAATAGCCACGGAGTAGACTTTAAAGGAATACTTGCTGGCTCCAAAGCCTGTGCATCCCCACCTCCTTTTTTAAAGAGTCTATTATAATAATTAAGTTCCAAAGAGATTTATTAAAATGAGGAAATTAACATTTTTTTAACCTGAAAGAAGATTGCAGCTGAAATCCCAAGTGAGAATTAGCAGGACACACCGATTATATCCTCCAATATCTAGGACCCAATCAATGTAATGAAAGTGAAACCTATGAGACCCTGTCCCGTAACCTACGGGATAGCTGCCACTCCCAATAACATATGACGCACCCCCATGTAATGTAACCTTCAGCGCTCCCCTATTCCCCAATGTACAGGTTTCCTGAAACTTTGAAGTCAAAGTGACAAGTAGGTTTTCAGTTGCAAGGCATATATATATATTTAGCAGAAGACATAACTGATGCAACTACAAGCTTTCCAAACAATATCAGGAAAACTCCTTGGCTTTAAACTTTAAGGTACCCTAATAAGAAAAGGGATACAACTCAGATATCTTCACAATTAGAATCACAGATTGAACAAATAAAACTGTTGGTAATATATTTCAGTCTTTTTTAATGATTAAAAACTAACATTTGAGTTTTTAACACTTCCAAATAGCCTGGATAATAACTTTTTTTTTTTTTTACAAAACAACTTGGTGGAGAAACAAAATAATTTTTTAAGAAAAACTCTTAGCATTTATTTAACAAACTGACCCCTTTCAAAAATAAGAAAAGGGATACAACTCAGATATCTTCACAATTAGAATCACAGATTGAACAAATAAAACTGTTGGTAATATATTTAAGTCTTTTTTAATGATTAAAAACTAACATTTGAGTTTTTAACACTTCCAAATAGCCTGGATAATAACTTTTTTTTTTTTTTTTACAAAACAACTTGGTGGAGAAACAAAATAATTTTTTAAGAACAACTCTTAGCATTTAGTTGACCAACTGACCCCTTTCAAACAAAGGTAATTTGTCAAGCACTGGTAGTCTAATTTGTGGAATATGCTCCAGTAATATAAAATGTACTTTAGTAAAACATCATATGATGTTAAGCAGCACCAACTCAAATAATGAGCATTCAGTTAAACCATCAATTTTATGTTTATCACACATTGATCAGACACCCTCCCTATTTTACCCAATTATTGTATTCTACTCTAAAGAATGCCCTGTCAAAGTATAGCCTTGTTGTCAAAGTATAGCCTTGTTGGCAAAGTATAGCCTTGTTGGCAAAGTATAGCCTTGTTGGCAATCTATCCCACTACCTATGTGCTTGTTTCCAAAATATCCGACCAACACATGTTCTTGTTGCTAAAACTAAAAGGCCCTAACCAAATTAGTTACTTGTTGCCAAAAATCTCCAACGAATCTAAGGTCTTGCTCCAGAGAACAATCTCAGATCTGAACCACGAAAAATAAGCCAAATACCTGTACCACCACGTGTTGCAACTTTGTACAAAATCTATTTATTGTCCATCATCAAAGGCTAAACAAATCATTGAGTGTTACTTATTTAAACAGGAGTTTGAAAACTTCTTCTCAGACTTGTGTCTTGTACTTGCATACTAAATTTGCGGATACGTTGTTACATTCTACAAGAAATTTTGATCCACTACTTTGTAACAAGAGGCACTGCATACAAATTATGCATTTCTTGTCATCATGTCAGAATGAAATTAATAATTCGTTTAGCATGCTAAATAATTATCAAACAGACAGGTTATATAAATATACACCAGTTCTCTGTTAACATGATTGGCGCATGAATTTAAAATAAATACTGTAACTATTAATAAGTCATGCGATAGTGGGTGACCAGCTGAAAAACTTTTCAATCACAAGGACCTAAATATTTTTTTATTATGTACTTCATAGGCACATTTTTTAAAGATCTAAAATATTAGTTAACATATAAATAAGCCACAAAATTTGGCTTATAACTAAATAGCACTTTAAACTATGGCAGTCACATCATAGAGAAAATACTAAGGGATAAATAGGAACAGAAAATCAGCCTTTACTCAAAAACATTTTGAAGTTTAATTTTTATACCTTTCATAAGTGTGTTGAAAAATTATATGTCTAGGAAAATCAATCTGACTGAACTGCAATCATTTTTATGATAAGGAAACAATAATAAAATGTATTTGACACATACCACTTAAATATATGAACATAGCAGAATGAGTGTAACAATCATGTGGTGAAATGTAGCATGAAAAAGCAAACAATGACTGTCAATGGGTGAGAAAACATGGAAAGAAGTCAGGTTATGATGTTGCTGCCTCAAGTTCCCCCACAGGTTGGTCTGGCTCCTCATCATTGTAAATGTTCTCAGCCTTTGAAAGAAATAAAATGAAAATTCAGTTAAATACAACTTTATACACATGCTCTTAAGCCAGTCTTCCATTTCGCCCTGTACATGATCATGATAGATAACTTGTGACAGTGTACCCATATTCTAGTTAAGATATTTTAAAATACAATTTATTCTAAGTAATGGAACTATACTAGTTTGTGCTCCAAACATAGTTACCCCCCTTAGCTAAGGTTTACATAAAAAGTATCAAAGGTTAACAATATAGATGACATTACAGCAGAAGTAAATAGCAATTACCATTATCTTGCAAAGGCTTTCAAGCAAAAATGAATGAAATATATATACCAGAATATATTTCAAAATTTACTATATAAACTGCACAAACTCCTATGCATTTTAGCATAATTAAATCTTTCTCAGTCGTAATTACATACCGGTATTAAAATGAAAAAAATAAAAGTTAGGCAATTTTTAAGAAAAATAATTTTAATTAGTTTAACTTAGAGCAAGCTAAAATTTTAATATTGGCATTTAAAAAAAATCCCAATGAACGTCAAGTAGCAAAAAGGTATAATAATGGTAACCATCAGACTTGTTTACTCACCATCTGCCACACTTGCATGATGTTGTCCTCTGACACAGAGCAAATAACCCAGGGCTCATTTGGGTTCCAGGAAAAGTCAGAGATCTTAGCAGTATGTCCCCCGTGAATGAACTGTAATTAAAAATATGATATTGTTAAAGTTGCACATTTGTGAAATTAAGTGTGAGTTCTCTAAATGTAATTTTTAAAACTAATTTCTACCATAATGCTTATGAAAATTTTATCAAAACTTACTAAATGGGACAATTTTTGATCAGTCAATTTTTAAGATATTTTTTGAACAGTTGGACCATACTCATTACAACGTCCCCAGGTATGGGGCCATTCAGGTGAAACCAAATAATTACAAACAGTTTAAGATGACTGTTTACCAGTAACTCTGGGGGACCATCCTCGGCATCCTCTGGTAATTGCTCTTCCCCTATCTTACTGTGTAAGAGAAATACAAGAAAAAAAACTAGAATATTTTAAAATAACACAATTCTTTGAAAAAAATTGTGTAAATATAAATTTAAAAAATACAATAAAACTAATTTATTTTTTAAAAGCAAATTTTGTAATATTAAACTACTGAAGACTGACAATATTGAATTTTCAATTATACATGAACAACATATTGAATAAGAAAAACTGGCTAGCTGTGAAATATTTACCTCAGATCCCAGACATGTAGTCTTCTATCAGTCCCACTAGATGCTAGAATAGTTTCATTATGAGGCGACCACTGAACCTACATGAGTCATGTAAAATAAATTAATTTGAAATTCACAAATGGTAATTATGAAAGAAAGCCATGCCATGAGAATAGCCATCCCTTAAAGGAATACACATAGTTTTAGCTTATGCCTTGCATATTGATATTTCACATGTTTAATACAACATGAAAGAAATATTTTTACCTGGAAAATTTCATCTTTATGAGACTCAAATGAATGCAATTTTAATTTAAGGTTTCTAAGGTCCCAGAGTGCGACAGTCTGAAAATAAATGAAATATATGGATAAAGAAAAGGTTAATTTAGAGTGTTTAAAATGGCAAGCATTTATTAAAAAAGAAATAATGTTTAAATAATACTTATTTTTCGGTAATGCAATACTAGTTTAATTTAAGACAATGAAAAATAAAAAAAACAAACCTTGTCTGCCGAGCCTGTGGCAAGAATAAACTCACTGTAAGGGTTGAAAGAGAGACAATTGACCTCAGCAGTATGTGCATCTACAGTGTGACTTGGTTTACTTGTGTTATTCGATCTGGTGTCCCAGCTGTTATAAAGAAAAGTCAACTTGAGTTAATATAATTTTAACAACAAAAACGGAATTTTTTTTCAAGGACTTAATTTTTAAAAATTCATTATGGATGAATAAAAATAATTAAATTTTGCTATACTTTTTGCTAAATGTTCTTATATAAAAAAATTAAATATACCAATGGGAACTGAACATGTTTTATTAAACATTATAAAGTAAAGGACCCAACAAAATTTATTCTGTATGGTTAAGCTAAAGGCAAATCAAAATGTTAAAATAAAATTAAAAGAGTATTGGCCAAAATCTTTAGGACATTTATATATGAACACAACTCACATCATTAGCTTTTGATCATCAGCTACAGATCCAAATAAGCTTTCATGAAGTAAATGCCATGCAACATCCTGTTTAAAAAAATAGTTACCAATAAAGGAATAGAATTTAATAGCTGAATACACCATTTGAATTAGCAACATTCACTTACAGGGGATTACCAACCTTCTCTGCAAAACAGATGCAATAGAATTTAATAGCTAATTACACCTGATGAATTAGCAGCATTAAATGCAATGGTTTCCCAACCTCAACTGCATTCCCTCTCAATTGTTTCTCTCAGTCTGACACCTCAAACAAAAGGAACAATCCATTTTAAAATCGGACAAAAATTGACCTCTTTTTCAAATAATGAATTACCAGTACTAAGTGTACTAAGAGCTTAGAACTATGTGACTTATGACATAAAGTAAAATATTCATGAAGACATTTTTTAAAAATATAAAAAACATATATAGCTTCAATTAGAAGTCAATAGCTCCTCCTCTGGAGTTCTACCCCAGGTTGGGAAACTGAGCACTGAGACAAGCAGCAAACAATCGATTTAGCTATTACAAACTTCTAATTATACCTGCAATTTTGTAAATAGTACTTTGGTGGGCAAGGTCAATCTTTTTACAAAGCGGTTTTTAAATGAATAATTTTATGTAACCTATTTTTAATGTCATGTTTCCTTTTGCAAAATTTTATGTGAAGCGTGGTGAGCTTAGCCCAAGGCTGTGGTACTGTGCTATATTAGACCACTTTAACCCTTTACGGGGCAGACCGGCTGAAAACGTCTTTACCCCTTAAAGGGCAAGACGCCCAAAAGTGCCGGTGATGACATAGTGTTGTTTTCTCGTGACCTCCAAGCCTTATGGAGACTTCCTATTGTTTACATCCGGTTTTTCCGATAGCTAAATAGAGTAGGCGCCAGTTACAAGTATTTAATCGATTTTTTGTGTGTAGTTTTAGGTGTTTACAAAATTATTTTTTTTCAAAATGGATTTTTCAGATTATTTGCCTATTATTCAAGTGATAGTGGAGATTTCGCTGGATTCAATTTAAGTGACATTTAAGTGCACGAATTGACTTTAAATTGGAACTAGATATTAGTATTATTAGTAAAATCAGCGTAGTAAGCAGTGTTGAATTTTACAAACTTCGATTTTGTGGCAGTGTTTGTCAATAGTGAATAGATGACTCACAATCACAAACAATATGTTGTTTTTTGCAAATATTTGTGTTCATATGAGGATTAATGGCAACATGTGAGTACAATAATAAATCTGCATTCATTTTCCTTTATTTTGCTTTTTATTTCACACAAATTTGTTGACTAACATCTTAGATTTGATTTTTTTTGTAACGTAACCCTAAATCTTACTAAAAAACGGAAAAGTGGTGCCTGTTCAGGACATGCAAGAGGAAGTACCTCTGCCCCGTAAAGGGTTAATAATAATTTAATCCGTAGCTAAATTATGGAAATTTTAACCACAGAAGTCCACATTAGAAGTACATTATAGTATAGCTTATAAACGCATAAATTAGCATAAAATGATACATTTTAAAGAAACATGACTCTTAAATACCTCTACAACTGAAGTATGGCCAGTGAAGATAGTCATAGCATCAATAACTCTTTCCTGGCGCTGAGTAGCATTGACATCCCATAAACATATCGTCTGTTTGAGAAAAATGTCATTAGTTCATTAGATTCCTGGAATGTTTTTAGGTCAGCTACTTTGACGGATAATGTGGAAAATCATTTTTTTCGACAGTAAAATTATTTTTTAAGATGCCCATTGTATCAAAAAGTACGGACCCAGAGATAAAAGATTGTTAAGTATCATAAGTTAGCTCATCAATAATTTACACGGGGAATAAAAGTGAGCCGACGATACAAGTCATCTGGAGTGAGATATGGGGTAATATAAACTGTGTGAGACATAGTGGGAGAAGGTTCCAAGTTCAGGTCACAGTGCAGTCCAGTCTTAGTAACAGTTCGAGCTTGATAGTATGTGTTTAGACAGGACTAATTTCATTTGGGCCTAAATGAGAGGATCTTTTGACAGGGTGTGTTTGTTGGACCCAGATTGTGTTGAATATGTTCCTAATAGTTGTATAGTATAGTATATATATATTTAATGGTCATATTGAAGTAGAGTAAAATACACAGTAAATGATTATAAAACATATCAACCCAAATGTGTAAACATGTTTTGTCAAAACATCTTTCCACATCCTCACCAACTGAAATTTTACAACACAACATTCACATTTGTCATCACATGAACTCATACTTGATATCCATAAAATATTATTGTAACTCGAAAAATCTGAATAACTAATGCATTTTACTCACATGATCGTCAGATGCACTTAATAAGTGTCCATTGAGATTTGGGTTCCAAGATAATCCGTATCTGAAAAGGTTGTTGAAGTAATAAGGTTAAGTAAGCACACTTTTTCAGGAAGGCTTTATTCACAATCGGCTGGGGCTAAAGCTCCACGATATTCCCAGGGGACTGTGTATGATGCTTAAGTGTTATTCCCAGCCAATAAATGGTTTACTATTACTAGCATTACAAAAAAAGAAAAGAATGCAGCAGAATTATGGGCTATATTATTGAATCGATCATTTGTTCTAATTTTAACAGACTTTATTATGATAGCACTATTATATACAGTCGGCTGGGAATAATGCTCAACACTATTCCCAGTCGATAAACCGTCTACTACCGCTAGCAACTGTTAAAAGTGAAATTGAGGGGGGGGGGGGGAGCACACAACGACTATAATTAGTAGAATGGGTAGATTTGAAGTTGGGTAAATAGTAATTAAAGTGATTAACATAGAGGGTTTTTACTGTTATCAACTTTAATTATACTATGTAAGATGGACTTTATAACCAGGCATTTTAGAGCTGTAAAATCTGATAGGTTTGGTTGGCTCCATGATTGTAAAGGAACAAAGACAAAAATTCCTAACCCTTCTTTTTGGTGTCCCTTCAAACGTAACTCTGGAATACATTCTCCACTTGGGTCTGATGAAAAAATATAGATTTGAGACATGAGACTTCCATGTTAACATAGACTCATTAAAGCTTTTAAAGATTACATTTGCCATTTTGAGATCAATAAAGTTAACTTACACAAAAAGTAAATAATTATTAAATAGGGAAATTTCTTCCTGCTTAAAAAACTGAATATTTATGCACATAAACTGCAGGGAAAAATATTTACCTGGTTTGGATGGATGCTTTGTGTAATCAAAAACAAGAACATCACTAGATGGTGTCTTAGTTGCAATAATACAAGGGTTCTGTGGCATGTACCTGGCACGATTTACTTCACCCTCATGATTAATTTTAATCTCTATCTCAATTTTTCCACTGACTGAGCCAAAGCCACCAAATTCTGTAATGGTGGGAGTAAACATATCTAATTTAAGATATTATTTAAATTTATTTTAAAATGATTGACTATGTTATAGGTACATATTTACATATAAAATTTAAAAATAGACATTCACATTATCTCTACATTGAGCACTTTAGAAGCCTAGCATAATATTTAGTTTATAAAAATCATTTAAAATAAATCTTCTGTAAAATTAAAATAACAAACTTCCATATAAACTAAATGCTGAAGAGACAATTTGAAATTTGCACTTACCCCCCTTATCACTATCATAGTGTGATGCATCAAACTGAGCATTGTCATTAGGTAACTGAACACTTGCTATCAAAAGGTGATTCTGTTCATCCGAACTGGAAGATGCAGTGGAAGTTCTGTTAATGTGAGGTGCAATAGCAAACAACAATCATGTCTCTTGTTTTACAGAAAAACATAGTAATACTACACAAAAAACATATACATTTGGACTATTTCAACAATTTTATTGATATAGTGCCAGGAATAAAATAACAATTTTTTTTTTAAAGTTTATTTATTATTAATTAATTTTTTTAAAATATATTAGAATTTATTAAGGTAACAGATAAATTTAAAAGAGCTCTAAAAAATTTTTATTAAAGTTTTTATACCTTTTTATTGATTCTATTATTTGATTAAGTAAATAGTTTTAACTCGAAGAAATTAGAAAATATATATGGCTGAGCTTACGTGTGAGTTCCAAGAATAAGTCTGTGCAATGAATAATCTTTACCTTCTGGTCTGAAATAATACCATTGAAGCATTTTAGGCACATAAATTTCAATCCCCATTACACAATTTAAAAAAATATATAACTAGACTTTTGTCATTTCCATATTTTTAAAAATTAAGAAAAGTAAAATAATAAAGCATCATATCAGTTATAAATTTCCTAATTTTGTCTGATTATTTAAAATAAATGTCTTTTACTTCCTTTTAAACATCTTATCCACAAGAAAAATTTCCCTTTTTACTATGACATTAATGGCAAATTTTGGAATGTTTAAAAATCATCCCAAAACATTTAAAATAATCCATGCTATAAAATAACAATGCAAATTATAAAAGAAAGTTAAATTATGTTTAATCACCTCTATAAATTTTTATAGAAAGATTGAGCCATCAAAAAATTAAAAATGTAGAAAAATTATTAAACATGTCAACTTTTTCTCTCCGGAATTATTTTCCGCGTTCTGACGGAATTATCTATTTTGCATTTTTGTAACGCACTACTATGTTGTCTCTAAACCCTCATAATTTTTTTGTTTTTCATCAGAAAGTGCTAAGTTTGGTATGGAATTAAAGGAGAATGTATGCCCTTTACAAGCAAACAAGACTTGGTTTTACATTTTAATATATAAATGTGATTATCATTTCAGAAAAATAAAAATTAAAAACTAACCAACTGTTCACAAAATGCTCATTCCAAGTCACACGAGGAGAAATATATAATCCAAAGTGTAACAAAAATGTTTTTTTTCTGAACTATATCCATATGTGCATCACAAATAATAAAGATCAAATTAAAAAACGAATAAAATTAAACCTCAGAGCACATTATCCATTGTCACGATCACACAAAAAATTTGTGGAAAAAAAACTATTTCCACTGGAAACAATTTGTTTCTATTATAAAATATTTACACTAAACTGTATTCTTGTATGTACTAACATTATAATGGTAAATGGAACATTTACCATACATTTGTCATATCTTTTCATCCTTATTTAGCTATGGTAAGCCTAAAACTAAAACAATTCATATTGATGTGCAATTTGGCTGGGAGAGGGGCTGGTTGTTCATCAGCTGATAAATTACCAATTTTATTATTTCGTCACTAGTACTACTACTACTAGTACTAGGATTATAATCATACTATTCAAAGAAATCAGCTTCTGCATTTGAAATAATAAAATCACTGTCTGAATCAGCATCAGAGTAATATTTTCAACCTTTATTAGATCGATCACCAGATGGGTCAGGTCAAGATTTCATGTTTGTAAACAAAAATAAAATGGACAATCAAAAGAACCGCTTCAAACACTTTGTTCTTTGCAAAACCTCTTTCAAACACCGAAAAACCGGATTTTTTAAAAAGGGAAATCATTCTGGAATTGATTTAAAATAACTAAAAACTAGTAGCTAAGAAAAGAGCCCAAATAAACAGGTTTTTATACATCGACGATGCCTACGCCAAAATCTTCATTTCAAATCGACTATGGGATCGTTGTTCCGGAGAGAAAGAGTTAAAGATTAAATCTAATTTTTTTTCCCCCTTCTTCGAACTATAGTAAAATTACCGTGTAACATCCGCCAACCACTGTGCTGTAAGACTGGGCCATTCTAAAGCATGTGTCATCACAAGGTCATAAAGAAAAGGTGTGTTCTTTTTCCATATTTTATATTCTTCATTTATCACTCTTTCTTCAGCAGCTTCATCAAAGTTTTCTGGAATAAATCAAGAAGAAAACTGTTAAAGACATTAAAAAAATATATTGATACAAATTTTGTGAATGTAATTTTAATGATATTGCAAAAACCCTTATCTTTTTTTCAGATTGTCCACAACTATTAAATTATTCAGATGTAATAATGTAGTTTAATAAAGAAATAATATTTCTAATTCTAAGCATTTTGTGTGATAAAAATGTAAACGTGCTGATAAGCTACTAAAAGAAATATTACCAAATAAAATAAGGTTGTGTACACCAAAGTTTTTTTTTTTTCTTAGCAGGACGAAATCCACAAGGCATGGGATTATTCTTCTAGGTTATAATATACCAACCACCCAGGCCTTCAAAACTGCACTCAAAACATATCTTTTTAAATTATACTACCCTGACTGACTCCCCTCCTCTGACCAATAAACGATCTTGCTGGCTGCCGTCCATGGTTTGCCTTGTAATAGTTATGTGGTGGGGTGGGTGAATATACATGCTGTTCTTTATTTCATAAATGTATTTTATTTTAATGTCATTATTATGTCTCTTTTGATAAAATTTTTATGTACAGCGCGGTGAGCCCAGCCCTAGGCTGGGGTACCGCGCTATATAAGACCTCTTATTATTATTATAAGCTGGTCCCCTACACCAAATTGCCTCTCTCCACGCCGCTGAAAAAACGAAGGGAACATCATGTGTATGATACAGCTTGGCACCAGTGGCGTCACATGAGTTATCGGAATGTTTCATTGTGTCAATGTTATCCCCCGAGAGAATCCAACTCCAGGTTTGAAATCTGTTTCCTTCTCTTAGATGAGTTTCCATCCAAGGTTAATAAGTCCCATCCACCCAGGGTGGTGGTGATGTTTTGGCTTGACTGGGCTTTGATGGGGATTGAACTCCAGACCATCCAACTTGAGATTGGTTCAATTTAGACCACTTGGCCATCTAGCTCCAAAATGAACCATCCCAATAAATAATTTATATATATTTCAAATGTGTGTTTATACCAAGAATAATCGCTAATTGAATGAAGAAATAAGTTAATATGTGATACAACTAGCAAGATACGATATTTAACTTGATCGGCCACATCTGCATTAAGCCTAGGAGCCTAATTTTTTTTTTCTGTTAAAATATTAACATTTGAACATGTCTCATGACCACAGCAAGATGTACTGGGAGAAGGGAAGAGGAGGGCTTGGGGCATTACAACTGTGCAGCTGCTTTGTGACAGCTAAAAATAGGATTTCAAATGATGCTCATTAGATCTTATAAAATGTCAAATCTAACGCAATTGAGAATGCAGATTTCTCAATTTTTGCAATCCGGGTTCAGTTTAAGAATGAAATAATTATGTCATAAACTTATGACGTAGAGCATCGAAGCAAACAAAGGCCAATGTTGACTAAATTTGTCATTAGGGTGAAATTAAATATCACTGTACTGTTGCTGTAAGTAATAAGTTCATTGTGAAAATATAGAGCAACAATATGACAATCACCATTATTATGGAAAGTGGCAGTCTTATTTTATAGCCTTTAAAACTATTTAGATCACTAACCCTTACCACCTCCCATTCACATCCATACACTCCTTAGACAACACCGACGGATGTGGAAAGGAGCTAAAACTAATAACCAAAAACTTTTTTAAATGATAAAAACTAGCAGATTATATTTTTTCAACTTGATCTCTTAAAATGATAGTTATGGCAGGTCGCAGCAAACAATCATAAAAAGCGTATCAAAATCATATCTTGTACCCCAAAATCATTAGAGTAACCAGCTCTGCACCCCCCTTCCCCAGTAAAACATTAGATCACGACGGGTAAAGGTGTATTTAGGGCATGGGTTTGCCAAGAGCTGTCTCACCCTAAGCGCAGCGATGTCATTTTGGGGAATCCCCGTAGTGAACTTTGGGCGCTTCTCTGCTTAGACAAAAAGTTGGTTTTGAACGATGTGTATAACTTCCTGTTCTTCACTTAGATATATAAACTATATCTAGCGATCCATACAGTTAATATATTAATATTAAAAAAATAATAATTTCCATTCCCTTTTAATTATTAAAATTCAAGTTACATTAATTAAAAGCTTCAAAATAAGTAGGCTATACCCCAGAACCCTTCCGACTTTCAGACAAAAATAAAAACAAGGAAAAAAACCTTTCATTAAAATTTTTTTTTTTAAATGCAGAGCTAACAAACACAATCATTTTAATTCGGAATTATAGTATGGTTAGTCGTGGATGACCTGGGGAACCTCCATAACCGCCAGCCCTTTCCCATACAGATCAGGCCCATAACTAAATTAAAAATACTATCTGCTAAAATTCAACCACAAAAATGGACAGTCAAACTTAGAGAAGTGTCCATCATGTCATAATCATTAACATTGATGGAAAGAATAAACTCTACTGTACTGTATAAGTGATGGAGTAAAATTTTACGCAGGCTATAAACACTCGGAACTCTGCCTACGCTATTTAAAATAGAAGCAAAAGAATTGCCTGCCAAGTACAGTACAGTACTGTACAGCCAAGGCCAAGACCATTCAATCAAGACTAAGAAAGAGTCGATACGACAAAGGATCAAATGAAGCACAAAATAATTAAACATTTGATAACTGATTTCGAAATATCAAATACGCTAAAACTATACCATTGTGTTCCAATACTTACCGGCTTCTTTATCTGTCATGTTTGTTAATATGATACAATTATTTTATTGACTATATAAACACTTGGCTTATGCTCGCGCCAAGCCCGGAAAACATAGTTCAGCACAAAATGATAAGATGGCGTCCACACCTTATTATTTTTTCGATGTATATTTTAATTTCTAAAAATATCTCAAATACTTTTTATAGGTTGTGAAATTAAAGAGCAATGTTCACATAAAATTTTGTGCAACATAAAAAAAATCTTCGAGCATTTTATTTAGGCTATACTATAACAATTTTTATATTACACTGATTTTATATAAATGGCTACAAATTAGTTACAGTTACTGCTAAATTATTATTACGATGATCATATACCCGCGCAATTGGTACAAATCAAGTCCATATCCTAATATTTATTTATTTCTAACGATTACATTTTCATCAAAATCGAAGTATAAAATTTCCAATATTACTACAAAGAGTTATTCCGAAAAAAATTATTTATACTTAATGGTGTGTGATAGGAGAGTGGGAGAAGATTGGTGATTGTGGTTTTGGAGATGATGGAATGAGTGTATGTGTTTTTTTCCTTCTTGTTTAAAGTTAAGGATGAGCGTTAAACTTGGGACATGCGGGAATCAGAGATGACTTAAACGCGGCATTTATTGAGAGCCATTTCCGCAAAATAGGCCTCACTGGAAAACGAAGTTTGAAATCGCGTTTTACTTTTTATGCGAGGCAGGCTAAACACTAGCGCCCGTGTAAGGGTGGGTCAATTTAGACAGGCTCATGTCCCGTTGATCCGTGTAAGGGTGGGTCAATTTAGACAGGCTCATGTCCCGTTGATCCGTGTAAGGGTGGGTCAATTTAGACAGGCTCATGTCCCGTTGATCCGTGTAAGGGTGGGTCAATTTAGACAGGCTCATGTCCCGTTGATCC